TTGTTTTTTAAATTTCTTCCGATACTAAAAATTTTTTTGTATTCTGACATTATTTGTAAGTGGAGTAGAACTAACTGCTTTAATTAATTGTGTTTTAGTTATCATATCTTATATTTATAATTTTTCAGACTCAATTGAAACAAGTTGACTCATCATCTGTGTGGCTAGCTGTTTCTGAAGATTGTATAACATTATTAGATTTCACTACAATGGTAAGCAGTAAAACAGTCAATTGTCTTATCGAGTGCTTAGAAATAAATAGGGTTATTTGTACCCTACAAAAGACAAAATATGGTAGTGAAACTATTTTATATCTAGCTTGTTTTCGGGAGAAATAAAGAACTCAAACTAATTAAAAGTTGTAACGTATATACAAGAATGTTAAAAAATAACATAATAAGTCTTGCAAATCAGACATTTATTTTCTGAAAAAACAAACAAGAAATGAAGCAGCTTTACTTTTAGTTATTTCTCCTTTCTGGGATGAAAACGGCCCTGAATAAAGTACCTGGATCCTGAAATTGCTCTATTCAAATTAAGACTATTATTAGAATAAATTCATAAGAAAAATGAGAACTGTTTAAAAAATTTCCATAAGCTTTTTAATATAAATGATGATGTATGAGTCAATTATACATTTAAACTTAAGTATTTATTGAAAGATCCTAAAATAATATAATGACAATTTAATGATTTTTAAGCATTTAATAATTCAACTTAAAAAAGAAATTTAAATTCTGTTAATGTGATGCATTAAAAGTTTCTTGGTATTGTGTATATGTCTTAAATATGGGTAAAGTAACTGCTATTTTTGATAAAAAAAATAAATAAATTTTATAATTTATTTGTGGTCTAAATGTTTTTTTTTAATTTCTTTCTCTCATTCAGCAACCCATAGTTCGCTATCCTTATGGCGTAGTTGTTACCTTCGGTGGATGTAAAGAGGATTTTATGCTGGTCGTGTGCCAGACAACAGTTGACCAAAAAACGTCAGGAGAAGGTATTCAGGTGACTGAGCGCCTCCTCTTCTCCATGCCTAAACCAAAGGTAAACTTATGGTTCTTTTAAGAAGTTATATATCAGCTTGTAAAACAAAGTTTCCCGCGACAGCTAATATTGTTTGTGCATATAGTTCGCGTTGGGCTTGTTCTTGTTGGAATTAACTTGACTGATTAGTCAGATGTTCTCTTTTATTACGCTTTTTCCTAACTCACCATAAGGTAAAATTAAAGTTAAAAGTTATGTCATCTTTCTATAGGAATAACATACCCTTTGTATAACTTATTGAAGGAGAAGGATGTATACAACTAAACTTGTTACTGTTTTTTCATTATCCAGGATGTCCAGGGTATTACGAATCGATTCATGACGCAACTGTATTATGTATTTATACCTAGGATGTTGTGATATCATGGCTAGTGTTCATATTATTGTTTATTACGACAAGGTTCGGTGAGCTGGCTCGTTTAATTTTTCAAGATGTTGTAAAGTTTCCTGGAAAACTTTGTGCATCGGCTTGCTTTTCTTCCTCACAGTCATTTGTAAATAGTTATTTTTGTACTGAGTACAAAATAAATGATTGTTGAAACTGCAAGCAGGTCTTCTTATTGCTTCTTCGTCACTGTTCTTAAATAACTTTGCATCCAGCCTAAGAGTGCTCATATTTTGTGACAGTTTTGGCATTTAGAAAGAATGACTTGCCTAAGGTCACTGTGTTGTGAAATATGTTAAAATAATAATAATAATAAGTACAGGGTTTTCTTTCTTTCGTATTATAAATCAGTTTTGACTTTATAAATGTTCTATTTATCATAATGTATGTTATGCTATGTTCTGTTTATCCTCTAAATTTAATATTTTCTTATTTTAAAAAAAAATTTAAAACCTAAAGAAATTCATGTCAGGATAACATGTTTAATACAGGGTTGCCACAGGCGACTAAAATGCAACTGTTTTCAGCATGAGACGACTATGGCAACTTTTTATGCCTGAAAAGGCTGAAAAAGCAGGAGACTTTTCCATACTCCTAGCGATGTTTTTTTAGCATAAATTTGGTTGAAAACCTGGGATCTCTGAGCACACTGAATTTCTTTCCTTAAAAAATAATTTTAAAAATTTTGAATTTGACTAACGTTTATGTAAAAATTATCGTATTTGCAACCAACTTGACTAAATGAATCATGGTACATGACAGTTAAGTCATTTCATAAAATTTTAGTCTCATTTTGCTGAATTTTGTTTAGGCAACTATTTTCATAGTTTTCGGCAACTTTTTTCGTGCTCTAGGCTACTAAAAGCAACTATTTTGTTCATTTTTTTCTGTGGCAACCCTGTTTAATATTATTTTATGATGACTCTTAATATGCTTAATTTTATCATTTGTATTTTGCTTCAAAGTATAAAATGCAATATAAAAAGCATTTTAATATACAGGTTTTCTAAAAATCCAAAATTTATGCATTAAGAAGCTATATTTAGAGACTAAAAATTTTCTCATTTTAGTGAACAACAAACTAATATGTTTTAATCATTTAACCCTTTAACTTATCTGTTATCTTGGGCTGAGTTATCATNGGTTTTCTAAAAATCCAAAATTTATGCATTAAGAAGCTATATTTAGAGACTAAAAATTTTCTCATTTTAGTGAACAACAAACTAATATGTTTTAATCATTTAACCCTTTAACTTATCAGTTATCATGGGCTTTTTAAGTCAAGGAGTTAATTGAATGTAGCATATTTTTTTGACCATGTCTTCAATATTAAATATCTGAATTTCATTTAAAAGGAATTTTTTGTTCTAGCATTTTTATGCAAAAATTATCCTTTTTGAATGATTGCATAGTTTTTTTTTTTTTTTTAAATTGAATAAAATGGTACAAAAAAATTTCTAGCAATTTTTTTTCTAAGAAATTTAGTTCACACTCATCCAAAAAAAAAGAAAAGAAATTTTTTTAAATGGGCCAACCAGCTCAATTTGAATTTCCATGAAAGAAATATTATAGCTAACTTACAATAACTATTGTTCAAATACATTTACATATCAGAATTCAAATGTTTGAATGAAATATAATTTTTGCTTCCTGTAAAATACTTGAAAATGAATTTGGCTGATTTTATGTCTCCTGTTAAATTGCTAAAAATCAGTCGCATGGTATGTGGATGTTTAGGACAAATTCTATGATCTCTGTAAAGTGTGCAATAATAGAACTTTAATATGAGCAACAACAAAAAAAAATATTTCACTGCTTTTTCCTTTTCATTTCATAACAAATATTCTCTAACAATTTAGATCCATATATTCTTTTTTTTTAAATTTATTTTTCCAACAAAATGTTCTTACATTTTCTTAGATGTAAATATTAATATTTTAATGAGTTAATCTCAAACTTCCTTACTAATTTTGTTTGGAAATCATATTTTAAACCCTAGTTTTTGTCCAGTAATAAAAATAATAATAATCTTGCAATAGATGTAAGGTATTAATGAACTTTGCTGTCTATTAAACGCAGCCTTCAACTGAATGTAGGACCGTTGCCCCTTTCTACACCCCACTGATTAAAACTAATCGAAATTTGTGTTACTTTGGTATAAATTTGAATCATTTTGTTGCACTTGCCATTTTGCTAAGTACCTTAAAGATTCATAAATCGGTAACAAATTTTATTACAAAATTTGAATCATTGTATTGCACTTGCTATTTTGCTAAGTACCTAAAAGATTCATAAATCGGTAAAAAATTTTATTGCAAAATTTGAATCATTGTGTTGCACTTGCTATTTTGCTTAGTACTTTAAAGATTCATAAATCGGCTACAAATTTTATTGCAAAAAAAAATACCAAGGAGATTCATACCTTCTCCATTAAATTAATATACGCATAAACAAGAAAATGATATATTTATAGACAATATAAAACAGATTGGTTGGTTACTAAATTAATTCCGAAGCAGAGTTCGTCAATAAACTCTTATTTCACGAACCAGATTTGTGTTTTACGGATATTGGAAATACTCGTCGCAAAGTTATTATTCTAACTGCACTCTATAACAAAAAAATCGACGCACCAATAAGGAGTTGTCCGAAAGGAGTTGAAACGAAAATTGGTGGATAGGAAGATATTCTTAGCTCTGGGTACACATAATTCCAGTTATCATAAAGATAGGTTAGGTCAGCTTCTTTTTCCAGATTGTCTTGTTTAATATTTTTTATCTATGATTTACATTTAAAGTAAAATGTATTTACCTTTGAATACAAATTAACTGTTTGTTCTAACAAAATTAGCATAGTAATAGTATATTATAAGCACAGATAATTTCTGTAATAATATACAATTTATTTAATACGTCGATTGTATATATTTTTAGGTTATGTTTCCGACAATTGTTAAAAGCAGAAACTGATAAAGAAAGGCTTTTAACAGCATATCAAATAAATGAGGATGTAGTTAGTGGAAAGTTTCCTTTAAGTAAAGATTTAGCATTAGAGCTTGCAGTTTTAATGTCTCAAGTGAGTTAAGTTTTTATTTTTAACAGAGGCTTCTTCTTAATCTTCATTTGAAAATTTTCAATTTTTTAAACCTTTTTTTCTTTTAGATTGAATATGGTGATTACAATGGAGATAAAGTGAGATGCAGTACTGGACCGACGACTCCTCAGCAGCAAATGCAAAGTATATTAGAGAGGTTTTATCCGTCTCGTTATAGAGACAAGGGTGATGAAAAGTAAGTTAGTTTTTCTCTATGATAAATATTCATATTTTTTTTAGATGCATTATGTATGTACTATTTGAAAAGGGTAGTTTTTTTGTGCAATGCATTTTAATCCTTGAAATTTTAAAAAAAAGAGTTTATTTTTATTATTGCCAAATAAATCAGCATAGCTTCAAGAAAATACTCTTCCACATTTGTTAAAACATAAATAAGTAATCAAATATAACATTTGCCATAGCACCAACATCCTTACTTTTTTAAACTAGCAAACGTGAGGAGTTTATTCCACAAATGTAGTCACAATGTCAAAACCCAGAGATGATTGTGCTCCTGAAAAATTCCTGATCTCCGAATTTTTTGATTAGAGATAAAAGTTAACTTATGCATAATTATTCATTTAAATTATGTTACATATAATTTATTTAGAATTTCATGTTTTAAATGTATCAATGACTTAAATTTATAAAGATATTACTTTTTTGAAATGCGTCATTAATGATTTTACTCAAGAAATTTTCAGGATTTTTAAGTTGGGCTCAAGATCTCTCCTGAAACACCTAAATATTCCAAATTTAGCTGTTTACATAAAGTTTTAACAAGATGCATCTGATTTATTTATTAATTTTTTTTTTTTACATATTTGTGCCAAAAATTTACCTTTCCCATAAATAATTCTTATTGGAG